TCTCTCTCTCTCTCTCTCTCTCTCTCTCTCTCTCTCTCTCCTCTGGAGAATCAATGGCAGGCTCACACGGCGGTCTTCAGTGGAGGGCTCCATAACACGAGCACGGACAACGGCACGGCAGGAAACTAAGTGACCTCGGGGCATGACGGGCTCGCGCCGCACTGGGCTGGTGGAATATCAAACTTGCAGCCAACATCAAAGCATGGGACGGTCTTTCCTTGGACGCGTGAGGGGCCCATGTAGTTTGAACTCCGCCAGATCGGCTGGCGATCAACCACGATCGGTGGCTAAAATTTGCCACTTTTTCTTTGCTCCTACAAGTGGCCTACCGGCCCCGGTTTTCGAGTTTCATTCCGCTGGTGGGGTCTGCGAGGCAGTTAGGGGCTTCCCAGCCCCTTTGAATTTTTTTGGGCCCCCAGCAAAAATGTGCCGGGGGCGACCTAGAGCCCACCGGGACGGCCGACCGGCCGATCCAACCAGGAGGCCCCCGGTCCATCTGGGGACCAGCACTGATGCATACGCGAATATCCGGGTCCATGTCAGGTACGTAATTCTGCGGAGCGGGCTGGAACTGCATTCGTCTTCCCGTAAGTGGCATCAACAGTACTTCTATGTTCAGGCCAGGCGCCGTACTGCCATCCTCTAGGCAGACAGCATGGTGCTCCTCTTCTATCCAGCAGAGAATGTCTGCAAAGTCTGAAACAGTATAGGGGTTGCAATTGTAAGCAAGGAGAAACATTAATGGCATACTACACACAGTGACCTCACTGCTGCGCTATGCGATCATTTGATGCAGCAGATTGCACAGCTGAGGCAGAAGGTTCATTCCCGTCTGGGTGTATTACCTCCATTGGCTCTAGCATGCGTCCCGGAGACAGATCATCTCCAGTCGGGGGCTCCATCAAATGATCAGAGGGTGGATCATTGTCAGTTGGAGTGGGAGAGCAATTGGGGCAAGGTGGACTAGAAGTGGGTGGGTCAGATGCAAGATGCGGAAGCTGATCAGCCACCCTTGTACTCAGAGTGGCTGCTACCGTCTTCAACCAAAAATAGCACCTGGGTGTTAAATCAGCTTTTTGTCAGAACGTCCGGGGGTTATATTTGAATGTGCCATGGGCAGAGTGCCTTGCAGACGGTGTATACATGGGTTTTAGAGGGGGGGAAGGCAGGTATACATGGGTTTCAAAGGGGGTTGAAAGGGGTTTCAACTTCTCGTTTTCGTAATTTATAAGGAATTCTGAAGTGACCCTCAGCCAAAAGTTGGTTGCACTGCAATTCTAGACAACATTTTTTTTTTTACAAAATTTT